ATTATTTTGAGGACTGCTTAGTATATCGTTGTCACTTACAATTAAATCCTATCATTCGATTTCGGTGCTCGAGAATTCATTCGAATAAAAATCAATTTATCACTCAAGATGAAATAAAACATTGATCAATCACATTAATGAAGAATATCAGTGAATTTTTTAGCGATTACAATGAAATAGGTCATGATAGAGAGATGAAAGGTTCAAACTTTGGAAATAAGATACTCACAAAATATGCAAATATATCTATAAATTATTTTTTTAAATTATTTTCTTCACCAAGTATTGCAAATACATGTGAAATTTGAGTCTCTCATTGCTTTACTGGTATCTATATCTATATATTTCTTAATGACATTTGAGGCATTTGGAGATGTTTTAATATGGTAGAACATTGAAACTAAAAAAAACAAGATCCAATAGAAAAAATAAAAAGAAAACTATTCATGGTCTCAAAAAAAACTATTGTAATCTCTAAAATGACTAAAACTTTTCATGTACTAACTAGTTGTAAGTAGTCGATGTAAAAATGGTGAAACCTATTTGATTAGTCATCAAAAATGAGTGTAAACAGACAAGATGTGTTTAAAATTGATTTGTATTAAACAATGCTTCATATGTTTTTGGTGATTCATCAACTCTTTTCTGGTAGATACATATTGAAATGTGTAAAGGTCTTTTTTATCTTTACTTTATCTATCGTTCTGGCCATGCAGAATCTGATGGTATTATTAGTATATTATTGCAAGAGAGAACCTATGTCATCTTTTAGATTATAAAAAGTTCCGTGTTTGAAAGCAAGTTACAATTCTCGTACTGCATTCATTTATCATCAGAGCGAAAATATTTGTTTCGAATGTCATTTTCACACGACCAATATTCTATAAGTATTAAGTACTACAATAAAGCTCTTTACATAGTTGAAGCCTCAAGAAAATTCATCTTGGACTGTTAACTTGTTCATCTCAAAATTTATCGATAGAAAATAGGCAAATCATATGAAAATTTCGTTTGAAAATTAGAATGCCAGGATTTCATCTTCTTGACAAAGTTTACTAGAAAGTTATCATCTAGTTGAACATGGAGTTCGATAATTAACAAAATTCCATTACGTTCATGACTTCTAAATAAAAAATACAATTTGTTCATTTCTTCATTGTCATGTAATTTCTTTTAATTTTTTACGCTGATAAGAAGATTAATTTTCATTCGCTCTCTATTAGACAATAACGTAACCATAGTCGTTTGTTCAACAAACCCAGACTAAGCGTACATGAAATCGTAAGAAATTTGATTATTATCATAAATATAGTCAAATATCATATTTTATCTCATAAACATAATTTTATTGAACCTGTCTGTTGATAATTGAAATGAAAATGAATTGAAATGTTTGAACATGATAGAAAAAGATCTATTCCATTCATTTCATGTCTGATTTCAATGAAGTTAAAGGAAATTTTTTTTTGACTTGTTTGTCTTATATGAAACCCTATATTCCGACTACACATTATATATTCTATACTATTTATATAGATCAGATGACAGACAATGTAATTCTATCATAAATTTTAGGGAAAGATCGTTCAACTAGCGGATAGGTACAGATATCTACTCAAAATAAGAGTTGCATTCTGGCTTTTATGAAAACAATCATATGTCAATAGATATTTTTATAAATATATGTCTCTCTTTAATGAGAAGAGTTTAGATTCAGTGTCATCTCTCATTAGAATCATTGAACGTCGAACATGAAATGCCTCTATATCATTTGGTTTTTCGACTTTGTTTTAGTATTGAGAAAATAGATTGTTTTAAATTTCAATCATAAAATCATAGGAAACTTTGAAAAATGAATTGGTGTATTTCGTCGATTTTTTTTTCATCCTAGCTCTATGTTAGACCAAATTGAATAGTATATTTGACATCAATATAAAAAATACGTCAAATCAGAGATATTACAGCTTAAAGAAAAGTATTCATGAAAAATGCAACCCTGATGAACTAAAGGCATTCAGTGTATGTTCTGTTGTAATTTTTGTACTGATATCGACTATGTTATTTATTTTACTTTGATATTGAACGATAGTGAATGTCGATTAAGTGTAATCGATTTTGGATGATAATTTACATGTGATATATATTCCCCTGAAAAAAAACAGTTAGACTCGGTATTTTCAATATATTGTTACTGTAAATTGACATTTTGAAAAAAGTAATTATATATTCGGATAGCCCGTGGAATTCTCTACAACTCTCTATGTATAAGTTTTGAATTGCATTTGTTTCCTGGAAATAAATTCAAGAATACTAAAGGTACCCTTATTGCCAGATTCTCACAAAAATTTACATCTCATTGATTTTTTTCAAATTTATTTCCAGGAAACAAATGCAATTCAAAACTTATACACAGAGAGTTGTAGAGAATTCCACGGGCTATCCGAATATATAATTACTTTTTTCAAAATGTCAATTTATAGTAACAATATATTGAAAATACCGAGTCTAACTATTTTTTCCAGGGGGATATATAGACAAATAACAAATATAAAAATATTTTGTTGTATGTTTTCAATATAGAAAAATAAGGAATACAAAAAATATATGTTCCAGTATATAGTAGAGGATACATAGAAAAAAATTTTATTTTTTATCTCCTGATAGTGTTAGAAAAACTTCGACATCAATATTTTTTCTGTCGAAATATTTTGTGAAGAAAAATGTTCTTTATTATGTGAACATTTCCAAGATACAACTGTACCTTGACTAATCGATTATACAAAGCATTTGTGAAGTCAAAAATGATTTTACGATTACAATAATAGAAAACATTGACTTTCATAGCACAACATTGTGTATTTTGTACATTTCTCCATAATAGAAACTATTGAATCAACAATTCTCAAATAAGTAAAAGAACATAATAGATCACACAGAATCAAATAAGAGCAGACAAGACTTGGATTATGTAATGCTATAACTTTCTTTGGTTTATGAATCCCATTTAATCAGATAAAATCAGATCAGAGTCCTTTACTCTGTTCTTATATATTTCTTAATCTCAGAATCTAATAAGATGTCCAATGACATCTTTTATTCTGAATCTGACAAAATCTTTAAAAAAATGCATCTATTTTCACTGTCTTTTTTCGATCTCTTCTAGTGCATTTCTCTTTTTTCTTTCCTGTCTACTTTACATCTCATGTATATTCCTTCTCTCTTGCATTCTTTTTGTGCATGGCGTCGCATCTAGTCTGTTTTCAATATTGTTGTCCAGAATCTTCGAGAAGATTATTATTGTCTCGAGATTTCTATTATATATATCCGCCCTTGTGCCTATGATATCCATTATGTGCAGAAGAATTCAGTGAGAACCCTCCCAGAATCGGTTTGTGATGAGCACTTTGTTCAGGGAATTTTTTGTATTTACTGTTCTAAATAAAGGAAAACTATAATTCTAATAATTACTTTATAAGACTGAAAAGGAAAACAATCTAATTTGGGCAAGAATACCAGTCCAGCAATCAAAATCATAGAAATATGAATACATGTTATCATATTATCTCCAAAAATTAGCTTGGGTAACCGAGGGTTAAATACACATAAGTTTTTGGACATAATTAAATCTACGATTGATATCAAAGAGTAGCATATTAATTTATTGCTTTATAAACTTTCTCATAAAATTCAAAGATAGGCATCTCCATTCTGTCCTGTTCCTACTCCATTTTCACTCTGATGAGAAAAAGCATCAACTTTGGAGTTGGAATTGCCCATCTCTGATATCAACCATTTCATAATACTTACTCTTCAGATCCTGCTGAACATATCCATAACATGCGAGCTTACAGAAAACTTCTCAGAACAAGCATTACATAAGGATTATAGCATGATCCTTATAGAAGATACTCATTATTTTTAGATTTTGGCAGAGTATCTTATTTAGTTATCAAGATTCTCTTTGAGGACCCTTATACAATGGTTTGAAGATGGTGTTCGTCAAAAGTTAAAAATAGCATTTTAGAACACTTTCTTTTCAAAGCCCATAAAATCCATAGATCCCAATGTTTGTCACTGGAGAGGTCCGTTCGGATTGACATCCATCTTTTCAGCATTTGAAAAAGTAGAAGCCCTCTCAGGTTACATAGATTTGCGTGGAATCCTCTCAATTTTGTTCAGTTTCGCCTGTATCCAAGCCTTCTCATGATCTTACTCAGAGTACATCACGGTTGTTCTTCGAACAGCTTCACATAACTTACCAAAAGCCTTATAAAATTTCAGCGGCATTCTCTATGCAAATACTTAGGAGATTCTTCGGCAGATCTACATTCATTATACAGAAAATCATGTATCCTTAAGGTTTCCTTAGAAACACAGGGATTAGGTTTGATATTTTGTTGTTCAACGATTCGATATTCTTCTCACAAGATACAGATAGAATCTTCTCTGATGTTCATATAAATGATCATTCTGCCAAAAAGATTCTGAATTCTTACAATTCTGAAAAAAATCCTCAGATCCTTATGTTTTTCTATCAAAAATTTACATGAAATTAGTATTACTCTTTCTTGGAGAACCTCCTTAGAACAATCTCAAGGTGTTATTTTTATGATCAAAAAGATCTTGGCAAGAACTAGAAGTAACATAGATGTAAGAATCGTTACCAAATCCTTTTTTCTCATAAGAAACTAGGAAAAGACTTTTGAATTTTTGTTTGCGGAATGAGCATTCTCAAAGACGAATGTCCTATTTCTAGCGCTTGCTCCCACGAGAGACGAGATCTCTTCGACAACGACGATTCCTTTTTTTTTTCGTTCATTGTAGTAATTCCAAATATTCCAGTCGATGCCCGATGGAAACAGAATGGTGTGACAGTTGCTGGAGGCCATGGACAAGGCAAGGCCACCAATCAACTCGACCGTCCGTTTGGTCTCTTCGTTGATGATGATCAAACGATGGTCATCGCTGACTACTACAATCATCGTATCATCCAGTTGAAGATGGGTAATACGAATGGACAAGTAGTAGCTGGTGGCAATGGCCAAGGAAATCGATTGGATCAATTGAATCTACCAACCGATGTGTTGATTGACAAAGAGACGGATAGTCTCATTATTTGTGATTCGGATAATCGACGAGTCATTCGATGGTCTCGTCGTAGTGGTACAATTCAAGGAGAAATCCTCCTCGACAACATCGCTTGTCGAGGATTGGCCATGGATGGTCAGAGATATCTCTACATCTCTAACTACGACAAACATGAAGTAAAACGATATCAAATAGGAGACAAGAATAGAACTATTGTGGCTGGTAGCAATGGCAAAGGTGTTGGTTTCAATCAACTCAACTGTCCGTACTACATCTTTGTCGATCAACAACAGACTGTCTACGTGTCAGACAACGAGAATCATCGTGTAATGAAATGGAATAAAGGTGCAAAAGAAGGAATTGTCGTCGCTGGAGGTCAAGGCAAAGGGAATGCTCTGACACAATTGTCGGATCCTGGTGGACTGTTCATCGATACGTCGGGTACCATCTATGTGGCAGACATGTCGAATAATCGAGTGATGCGTTGGGCTAAAGGAGCGAAACAGGGCACTGTCATTGTGGGTGGAAATGGTCACGGAGCAGGAGCAAATCAGTTCAACTGTCCCTGGAGTTTGTCCTTCGATCGACATGGCAATCTCTACGTCGTCGATTATTGGAATCATCGTGTTCAACGCTTTTCAATCGAATAGACTCATTACGATGGATTATTTTTTTGTGTTCCTTTCATTTCAAATAAATTGCATTGAATTGATGAAATGAATGTCTATTCTATTCGCGCGCGCGCGACCAGGAACCATCCTGGTGGAGCCGGGGCGAGCGTAACGCTCATGCACGCACAGGACAGACTCATATCATTCATACCCTCCCCGCGAGAGATATGTCAATGAGTCTGAAGAAGCCTGGTCGTATGCCACGGACACCAAGACGATTCCTGGCCGGGCTTTTAGGGACTGCCCGGAAGTCCTGTAAATAAGAAGAACCTAACCTCAACGAACGTAACTCACCCCTCCCCCACTAACACTCACTGTGCTGAGAGTCACTCTAACTCTACTTATTCTCGCTGTCACTATATATTCTCAATTTTCCCTTGTGCCCTATTCTTATCTAAAAAAAAAAGTTAAATAATTACTCACGTGCTCTGGTGTTGGACGATGACGCGATGTAATGATATTGCTAACTAAAAGAAAAGAAAACCATTGAATGAATAATATCTATGAAAAAGAGATAGAAGAACTTACCCCATTGTTATCTCTTCTTCACTATTCCATACCTAAAATAAAAAAAACACAAATATATATATAGAAAAATATACTTACTTGAATTCATTTGAACGAATCTAAAACAAAAAAAAATAAATTTAAGATAAAGAAATCACTTACTAAGTTTGATATTTTCATATTGACCTAAAAGGATAGAAAAAAAATAAATGAAAAAGATTAAAGGAGGCCTTACCCACCATCCTCATGATCGTAAAATAAAAAAGAAAAGAAAAAAAAAACTAAAACTGATACCTACATTTTTTTATTGTATTGTTCGATGTTGAATTGTTCCATTCTGTATCGCTAAATTGACCTAAAACATAAAAGAAAAGGATTAATGTATGATTCAATAAATTGAATGATTTTACATAGAAAATCATTCATATATATACCCCCCAAAAATAATTTTTTTTTCTCGTCGAAAAATAATCAGACGTCGAATTTAATTAAGTTTTAATCTACACACACAGATACATTGAGATAAATTCAATCACAACTATTTCAATGTATGGGTCTAGATATAGCTCAATTGATATACACATTAATTGTACATGTGATCATTGATCATCAACGATAACATGAACAATGACTTATGGGCGAGAGAAGGAAAGAAGAAATATTGCTTTCTTGACCGATTTCTTTTTTCTTTTTCTCTCTCTCTCTCTCTCTCTCTCTCATATGGTCATTGTGTCTACAGAGTAGACGAACACACACGCGCACTCACATGTAAGGTATGTTGTCATTTTCTCTGTTGTTTTTCTTTTAATACATTTCTTTTGAATTAAATGAAATTTATTTTTCATTTTTATTACAAAGAATTACATTTTGTTTCATTGATTCTGCTTGTTTAAATCAATGATTACAATCATTACTTGAAGATTATTTGGGATATGAATGTATTAATGATGAAATACTATTAGTTCTGAACTTATATTATCATGTGCAGCAAAAAAACAGGTGTAAAAAAAACTTTTGTTCATTTTTTTTATCGTAAATTAGAATTTAGAATTAAATTTTTTAAGGGTAATTAAATATATCGTGCTAAACCATTATATAATCTTATTTTATTTTTATTTGTGTGCGTTTATTAATGATTATCAATTACAACATTTACATACGGTTATCTGTTTATTGTTTTTATTTGTTATATAAAATACAAAAAATTATGTCACACGAATTGCCGGACAATTCCGAAGCCGAGTTACGATCGTTTTTATGAAGTTTCAACCAATTGAATATTAGCTGAAAAATTAAATAGAACATATATCAGCTGAAATAATTGCTTTTTTTGTTAAGATACTTGATATTCAAAAGTTGATTCGATTTTATAAACTGTCGAAAAATTGAAAATTTTGAAGTATTTAAACTTTTACAATATTCTTAGGATGAACAGATCTAAGTATGGACAAAATTTTATATCAAAAAATTTTTCAGTCAATAACGTGCCACATAAGAAAAAAAAATCTTTGTTAGGTGGGTTTATAACAAGAGAAATGAATGAATCTTAAACAAGGAAAAAAAACAAAAAACTAAGATAATATATTTATATAATATTGTTTTTAGTGGTTTTGGGTATGTTTACGTTTTATAGGTAACGTTGATAAATCCATGTATACAGTTTATTGAAATAGTAATCAAACATTAACAACACCGTCAGATTCTTCATTATTATTACTTTCATCATGAACACATGATAATAATCCATTATTTTATTTATCATTAAATACGAATATGAAATGAAAACATCAGAATAAACCTTCATATATAAATGAACAAAATAATAATACATCAAATTCAAAACGTCTTAATAGTACTACAAATGAGAATGTATTATATGACAACATTGTTATAGGTCAATTGGAATGAATAAATTTTCTCGAATGAAAACAATCAAAAGAACAAAAAAAAATATTCTATATATTATTGTAGAAAAACAACAAAATATTTAAAAAAATAATAGGTATTGCATTAGAATGGAATTAAGAGAAAATGAACGAAATTATTGTTAACGACAATATTATTAAAATATTATTTGGGTAAGATAGTCATTCAATGGAAGATATTTTATTACCAGTTAAAAGACCTAAAAAAGATAAAAGTTAATTATTAGTCGGACAAACCTTATCAATTACAATACTACTAATCAAGAAGTTTTCGTACTATTGAGAAAAATAAATGTATATCCCTGGTGACTAATTTCTTGTATTGTGAGCAAGAATAATTTTTAAGATGCATTGACTATTCATGATTCGATAGAGCCTGCCGAGTTACCTCTGAAAATATTCTATATTTTTGATAGACTCGAATAATGTTTTTATGGCAAAAATTAGATTTGCAAAAAAAAAATCATAATACGATCAAGTCCGAACAGGCTCTATATTTCTGTAAGGTTTTACTCGTCATATACTTAGGAAAAAATTCTATGTATACTTTTTGAAAAATACTGTGTGATTGTTCAATATGATAGCAGAATCTGAATACGAACTTGCATTCATACTTTGTCATCGAATCGAAAAAATCGATTTTCTCGACAATCAAATAATAGTTGTCAAAAAGAATATATAAATTTTGTTTTCTTATTTATCAGTCAAATAAAACCGTAAAAAGATTATCGACCCTAACGAGATTCGATGCCTTTAGCGTTTTCAGTTTTCATAGACAATTATGAGATTCTTCTCATACTAAACTGTTGGACACTGTTATTCGATTTTGATTGTAACAGTGATGAACTAGTTTAATTTGATTAACTCATATATACACAATGTTACTTTCATTTTCGAATGAACTATTTTTTTTAATCAATTTCAATATTATTTTTCATATAACTTTTCTTTTTTTCTAATAGATTTTAGAAAATTTTATGCTAAAACAATGGAAGCGATTTATACATTACATAAAACAATGAATGCTCGTTTTTATGCTTATCTTAAGGTAATTTTATTTCATTGAATAGATAATGTAAAAAATAAAAAATTATTTCGAATAGATTCGTGACCTTAAAACTCAATTAGGTAAACAACATTTAGCTGCATTGGATGATACGACATATTTAACGTTTGCTTAAATATACATCAACAGCATATATTGATTATCAATTATTAATTGATTAGTATTGGTAATTGTCGAGTAAGAAAACGATTCCGATAGTATTAAGTACATTTTGTTCTTGTTAAATTTTAGTCGGAATTTCTTGCTGCACATCGTGATTATGTAGAAAAATTTCAAGTTATTGAGCTTTCACAAGAATTAATAACAACACGAAGACATATAACTGTTCCTTTTCTCCGATTGTCTTGAATATATGTGAAAAACATCTGATATGAAAACATACAAACATCTTGCACTTATTCAATTAAGCGATATTCAAAGTTTATTTGATATTAATCCATTATCATTAACAATTGATGGCAAAATTATTCACATTTTTTGTGGAACTCACATTACGTTTTCCTTTTCGGAGAAAAATAGAGTGAGTGTAAGTTTTAGAAATATACGGGACGAAAATTTGGAAGGCCGTCGAATTCTTACTCATCATATTTTCATTGAAATTTATTTCACATTTCTCATGACATCTTGATGGTGATCGTTTAGAAATGTAGTCATTATAGATTTTACTTTAAAAGTAGCAATTACGAGAGATCAGACCTGTACCCAACCAGCTCTACGACAAATTACGAAAGAAGCAGTTATCCCAACTGCAACTAAAAATTATCGTTAAATATTCTATGACTTTAAGCGTATAAATAAAAAAAATGAATATTGAAGACGTTTTTAGATGTGATAAAATTCAATTCTGGAATAGTTCTTTCTAGATTAGAACTTACATTTACATCCTTTTCGAGGTATCATGAAGGAAACTCACCCAAAAGAAGTAAAGAAATTCAAGCATGAAAAAATATGAAAATTATAATAGTTTTAAAAGCAAAAGCGAGTAAAATTTAATTTCTCATGCATCTTATATTTTAGTCCTTAAGAGGCTGCACTGAACGAATCTCTGTTTTCATTTAAATTAACATTTTTCTTATGAAAGAAACTGAACAATTCAGAATACTTTGTTCAATTGATGGTCAAATACGTCAACTTATACTTTGTGTTATTAATGAAAGTACAAATACTAGTAGTAATAGTTCCGAATCTTATTTTACTGATTCAATGTCTTCACTATTATCGATTTCAATATTATCGAATAGTACTCCTCATCATGGAAATATTAAAACCTATTTACTTTATCAGTTAACTAAAGCGATTCTCGTAGTGTACAACTTTTATTTTAGTCTTCACTTATTCAAACATCACTTGAAAATTCAGACATTGATTCAGATTGACGTTCAACTAGCTGTCGAAATTTATTAGATTTAGCACTTAAACAGTTTGAAAATTTTTCTTTTTTTGTGTGAAATTAATTAATATGGAATAAATATATATATATGTTGAAATTTTAGTCGTCTTCATAAACTAAAGAAACGATTGAGTCGAGCTTTTTTATTCAATTCAGAACTAATGAACATTTAACAAAAAAAACATTAATTGTCCAATTCATTTATTAGAAGATGAATGGTCGAATGGTTTCGATTCAAGTAAACAAATGAGTGTATCGTCAAGACAAGTAAGTATTTCAAGTAAGAATTTCTCATAATTAAACTAAAACATTCACAAAATTTTGATTCATTTAACAACTGAAAGAAATCGGAAATGCGTGTGCTCAGAAAGACTAGTGCTTCAATAGAAAGATTATTTAGCTCAGCTTGATTGACATTTACTCAATGACGAATATGTTTATCAAATATATCATTTATTCTTTCTTGTCGCCTATCTATTGATATTGATTACATTTTGAATAATTAATATTTTAAGTTTGTTTTGTTCAACTTATCAAATAGTATGGGGATCGAATATTCTGATTGGCTTTTTTCTTTGTTTTGACTGTAGTGATATATTAAATCATGAGAAAAACGAACGAAATAAGAACTATTCTTTGATTAAATGGGTGTAGTTACGAGGAGAGTAAAAGTGACTTCTACCGAATTACTTTTAAAGTAATTCAAAACTAACTATATTGAAGCCCAAATATAAATTTAATAGATGAATAATTCATACAATTGTGTAGAATTCTATAATCATCTCTAAAGTTATCAAGATAACATAGAGTACAAAAGTCTTGATACTAATTATTCCTTTATGTATTGCTGAGTTAAACTTGAATTAATTGATGTTTGTGCGGAACAAAATTGATATCTTCATCATTCATAACTTGTTCAAATTTATCATACAACAGATTTTCAGTCTTTTTTTGCTATGTAAATGTATAATTAGATAAGAAATTCTGTAGAACTAACTTCATGCTATAAAGTTAGATTTTGAGTTGAATAACATTTACCTAAAATAAAAGAAAAAAAATGAGACAAACAATATTTTTGTATCGATATCAGTTCGGAGTTGTTTCAAACATTCTACTTTCTATTATGGAATGTTTAAATTAGAAATAACTCATGAACACATATTTTCGAAATTTATTGCTTTCCCTAATAAATATGTAAAACAGGAAGGAATATTTTATTATAACTCTATACAGTAGAAGCCATGCTGGAATAAATACCTTCATCAGAAAAATTAATATAAAGTACCTGTGAGAATCTTTCGTTTTTCTTCAATGTGATTTGTATGCCAAATTTAGTATAATAGTTTTGATGCAAGAAAGTACTCGGTACTTATCTGAAGAAAAATCTTAGTATTCTTCGAGAAAAGAATTCCAAATGTTTTGCTATTCTCGAAGAAAAGCGAAACCTTTTCCTCATTTTGAACTGTCACAATCTGCAAAAGCAGGATATAATTAGATGTTCAATATAATTCCTCAACAAAATTGATCATCGAACATTATTCAAGACATCATCAAAATTTTTCTTACTTTTTAATTTAGATATTAAAAAGACGAGATTAATTTTCAAATAAAATCTGATCAAGTACTTTTCCTATCGATCGAAGGACAACCGTCAGATGAGAATATGAAAAGTTGACTAATGAAATATGGCTGGTCCGAAAAATAGAATTTCGACTTGAAACTTTGCGTGAACAGAGTTTTTAACGAAATTCGTTAATATAGAAAATTTCGAATATTCAATATCTCAGAATAGAAAAAAAACCTAGAAAATTTACAATTTGCCAAAAGAATTGTTCTCATGTTCATGCAAAATTTGATTTCGAAAGTCGATTTTTCATGTGACCTGAGTAGAACTACGGGTTTTTGTTAAAAAACAACCAAGGTTCGAAAAGCATATCGTTGTTTCAAGTTGAATTTTTGTTCACTCTATTTGGATTGATATGATCTATTTTCCAGAAGAATTTAACAATATTTTTTCAATTCCGAATTCATTTATCTCTTTGTTTTTTTTAGGATTTGTTCATGAAAACTGTTCATAATTTGGATTCTTCACCATTTATGCAATGTATTGAAGAACATAAGTTCGCTGAATATTCCCTTTAATTTTTTTCCATTTGATTTCTATACTTTTACAATGAATGTATTAACTGATAAAGAAATCAATATCTTTTTTTGACTCAAAACAGAAAATTTGATATGTTATTATCCTTTTTTGTTTCTTTTCGATGATTAATCTACTTTTCGGAATAACTTTGGATCTATGATCAAAGACACTATCGATGCTTAATAAATCAAAATTGGATGAAAATATTGTAAGAATTGATTCATTCTTTGTATCTGATCTTATGTTTTTTTGTGAAACATGATCTAAAATGAATATTGAAATATAAAGCATTTGTGTAGCTGAAACAATTCTCTATAAACAGTAGCAGATCGGAAGACTTCAACTGAGTTGCTTGGATTAAGATCTTCGAAAAAAATTTTCTTTAATACAGCAAAATAGGGCGTCATCGAACTCTCCAGGTACTTCCTTCATCGATTTGTTTTCGATTAGTGAGAATCCAAAAAGCAGTTCGATAAAGGAAGTTCATGGAGAGATCGGAGACGTCTCATTGCGCTCTATACAATAAAAATTTTTCTCAAAGCCTTCGAATAGATACAAGAAATCTGGTTTTGGACATTTTGATTTTTCCACAAATCCTAAGTCAAGTGGTTACATTGAGATCTTCGGGTCTACTAATCCTGATGAAGAATCCTTTTTAGTTGCATGTCTCTCTGTGTTATCAGAGACGGTGACATGCTTTGTTGATATACAATCAAAGACTGTGTCCCAATATCGTCTAGTTAACTACTTCTTTATTGCATTTCTGGAGCATCAAATAACAGAATAGTAAAGAAATCTCTTCTAAATTAGATTGAACACAACAAACTTCTTGTGATTAGCAACAGCAACTATATCATGTTTCACATTTTAATCCCGCACGAAGTGCACTAGCAGCTTTATTATTATTTTTTTATTCACAAAATACCAAAATCTGATGTTAGAAATATATTGATAACAAGTAGTTTACCTTTTGTCAATAATATACTTCATTTGCATATTTTTATTGAATCTTTATCAAGTGTTGATATTTTCTTACTCGGTAAAATCAAACAATTTCTTATTCACTTTTTTTATTGTAAATGTTAAATTTGAGATATTGCCAGTTGAAAAATTACAATACTATGTATTTATGGTACTGATGAATATAGTACAGCAACTGAAACAAAAGCATTGTTGGAACCGAAATATATACCACAAGAAACTTGCTATAGATGTTTTGATTTACAAAAAAAAAATTATAGGCAGTTTCTATGATAACGTTGAACAATTATATTGTGATAATT